AGGAGCAGGACACCCTCATCTCTCCCTGGGACAGACACTCAGAGACCAGCAGGACAGAGGACACAGGAGCTGAGAGAAACACACACAAATGAGTTTTGGTAGTATAACAGGATGCATTTTCATGCACTGTGCTTCCTTCTGTGTAACTTTACATGGTCTTAAACTTGGTAGCTGATTTTCCATAGTTCCTAAAATCTACTACTTTGCAACTCTATCAGTTGGTTATGGAATATCTAGGAGGGAAGAAATATCTCAAAATTATTTGCTGCAAAGGTAGCATCCTGTTACAGTAACATACACAATTTCAATGAGCTCTTTACAATTATTCATTAATTCACAAATGTTTGTAGAAGCAGACTGCATGGCTAGCTGTTTGGTTAAAGGCTGCATTTCCCAACATTTACCTTGAACAATCAACTTTAAAGTCCGCTCGCCCGATGAATATCCATCTGAATCAAAGGTTTCAAGGGTATAATCACCACTGTCATTCCTGCTCAGGTTATTGATCCTAAATGTTCCGTTACCGGGGGAAAAGAGAGACCCCTGTACTATGGTATTAGGAATAATTGTGCTATTTCTCACAGATAGTATCATTAGGAAATTCTTTAACAGTTTGTATCTAGGTATTTCAGAGCTGCTGTCCATCAGCTGGATGTCCACAGTTCCTCCCAAAGCTCCATAACACTGAGCTCCATCCTGTCTGCCATCACAGTAAGTTCCCACACCTGCAAACACACAAAAAAGGAAATGAAAAGCAAAATTATTACAATGGACTGGCAGCACTGACAAATGTTTACTGAAAACAGAAATGGTGTTTTTGTGGCTGCTGCCTGTCTGTATTTTTGTGAAGACACATTTATTGATGCAAGCATGTCTGTGACTGAAACATAGTTAGGGTTCAAGCCTTGAAGAAAAGTAAATTACTGTGTGAAGAACTGAGAGGAAGAGAGAGAACCATTACATTAATGATACTAGAAGAGGTTTTTGAAACTAACAACTTAAATTCCCAAGAAATTCACGTTTCCATATTAGGTAGTGTAAGATAAATTTTGACGCCCTGTTAAAATTGTTAAAAAATAAAATAAAATAAAATAAAATAAAATAAAATAAAATAAAATAAAATAAAATATGAAATTATGAAAATTATGAACTGCATAAAAATATTTTAATTGGCACTGTAGCCCTAAAAACATGGGGTCCAATAGCCGTGTCTCAGCTTAAGAAAATCCAACATAGTTGTTATGTTTCCTGAAAGTGCTGTTCACATGAAGTGATGTCAGAGTTTCCTATTATAATTAAAAGTGTTAATAAAGAAAAAAAGAATTAAATGAAATTAACTAAAAAGAAAGAAAATGAACGTGCTCTATATTAAAACAGTCCTAAACTGCAGATGTATTCAACAGTTCCTGAATTTATTTTAGAAGAAATACAAGAAAAACAATTCCTCGACTGTTTTCAGCTCACCATGAGACAAACCCAGCAACATCACTATCAATCCAAGCACAGCTTCCATGTCTTCTTGCTGTTCAGAGTGTGTTCATACAGTTTGCAGCATAAATAACAGAAATGACTGATACTACACATCAGTCGGTGTTCACAAACTGTATGTGGAAAGGTGATAAAGGAAGTAAAACCAAGAGCAGAGACAAAATAACATCAGCTTCTTCTTTCCCACGTTTTTTTTAGTGTGCAGATTTTTTTGTTTTGTTTTTAATTTATTTAACAAACACAGTTATGCAGAAATATTAAGCCATATATGTATACACTTACAGTCTCATTTAAAGGTTTTTCTTTATTTTCACACATATGGAATTAAGCAGTAAACAAAAAGTGAACTAACTCAAAGCATGTTTTAGATTCTTGAAAATAGACACATGTGGAAAGGTGATATAGGAAGCAAAAGCGAGGGCAGAGACAAAATAACCTCAGCTTCTTCTTTCCCACGTTTTTTGCAGTGTGCATATATATACATATGTATGTACATATACTAGTATATGTATAGTATAGTATAGTATAGTATAGTATATGCTATATACTTACTGTGCTATGTATGATGAAAAAAAACACAACAAAAAAACAAGAGCATTGAATGAGAAAGTGTGTCCGAACCTTTGACTGGTAATCAAGTACTCTGCCTTGCTCCCTCAGCCTTGTTAAAGCTAGGGCTGAGGGAACCAGAACCTGAACCTTAACATTACTGAAGCAGTGTGGCATCATGTT